ATTGAAACAGAGATGGTCCATGCTGCACAGACAGATGAAACATATGGAACTGATGAAAGTAGTGATGAAAGCGATGACGAACAGGATCAACCTAATGAGGAAGAGCAAATTGAGGATTGGATGTTGTTATGTAGACTCAACCAACATTATGAGGATGCAGGAGATCAAATGGCAAATAACGAGGCAGTGGATTGGTTCGAAGCAGCAAGAGGTGTGCCTGGGGATTTGTTGAGAGAATCTGCTGGGGGATTTCTAAACAGAGAAAGGATGCAGAGGAGCAAGGTATGCAGTATCAAACAGGTGACCAACAAGTGGTGGTTGACCCAGGGACCTTGAATGACAAACAGCGACTGGCATTTGACATTATCACTGCATCCATGGCTAATGATGAATGTGAACCACTACATATGATTGTAAGTGGTACTGCTGGCACAGGTAAGACATATTTAATTAGTGCCCTAAAGCAAGTATTGCAACACCAATGTATTGTCACAGCAACCACCGGAATTGCTGCATTCAGTATTGGTGGTCAAACTTTGTATTCCGCAGCTCAACTTCCGATTCGGGAATACAGAGAATTACAGGGCGATTCCTTACAGAGATTGCAGCTCAGATTGGAAGGTAAGAGGTTTCTCATTATTGATGAAATGTCAATGATTGGACATCAGATGCTTTCATGGCTTGACAACAGACTACGTGCAGGTACAGGAAAAGAGGATATCCCATTTGGTGGGATGTCGATTATCCTAATGGGGGATTTCGGCCAGTTACCTCCTGTAGGCGATAAACCAATGTACATTGCAGGTAATGGATCTGTAATCAGTGACCATGGTCACAGTATGTATTTAACATTTGATTATGTAGTCATTTTAGAGCAGGTCATGCGACAGATTGGTGAAGACCCAGAAGTAGTTGCATTCAGGGCGCTATTGATGAGAATGAGAGATGGACAAGTTACCGAGATGGACTGGAGACTATTAATACAGCACTCCAGACCTAACGTTTCAATGGATCGATTTAGTGATGCAATCCGGCTGTACTTTGATAAAAAAAGTGTCGCTGAATATAATTATGAGAAGTTGCTAGAGATTGGACAACCCTTGGTCAAAATTCAAGCAAGGCATTCTGGTCGAGGTGCAAGTGCGGCAACATCTGATGAAGCAGGTGGTTTGGAAGCTGTCCTCTTTTTGTCAACCAAAGCAGAAGTGATGCTGACATGTAACCTTTGGGCAGAAGTCGGTCTTTGCAATGGCTCTTTTGGAACTGTTGAGCAATTTTGGTTTGCAGAGAATATGGGTCCACCAAATCTACCGATTGCAGTACTGGTTCATTTTCCAGCATATTCTGGCCCTGCATTTCTACAAGAATGTTCAAAGTGTATACCTGTGCCTCCAAGACTGTTTGAGTGGATGGCGGATGGAAAGTATTTGTCAAGACAACAATTGCCCTTGCGGCTGAGGTATGCAATGACGATACACAAGTCCCAAGGACAGACACTAACCAAGGCTGTTGTTGATTTAGGTAAAGGGGAGAGAGTTGCTGGCTGCACATTTGTGGCAGCATCTAGGGTAAGATCAATTAATGATATTGTGTTTGAACCTATGACATTTGATCGTCTGAAAGTCATTGGTAGGAATAAAAATTTGAAGAAGCGACAAGAAGCGGAACGACGACTTCGTGTGCTTGCAGAAAAGACTGAGCAGAGGCATAAGCATTGAATATATGCATATAAAGATATGGATTGTATTGTAAGTTGTTATATCCTTTTGTTTAATGATACTGGGCACCAATGTGCTTTCGAGGAAATCATAGTCGCCTGCTACTAGACACAATTTTAGAAGTGAAGTTTGTATGTCTTATTACAACTTTGCCTCTATAATTTTGTTTTTGAGGATGGCAATGTACTGTACATGTGTCATATTGCCTGTTACTAGACATGATATCAGGTATTATGCTTTTGAGGGTGGCTGTTGACATGTACACTATATCAATCAGGTAAGTTACCTATTTACAATAACAATCAATGAAATGAAAACCACAATACCATCGCGCGGGGATATTTCGTGATTTGCCTGGTAACAATAATAAAGTACACGCAAAATTCACGTATAACATAAATTTCAAAAAGAGCGCGAAAATATCCTGCCGATATCCTGCTGTTTTTGGACTGCGGTAAGTCTTTTTCAAAATAAAAAACTTTATAAAATATTAAACATTTCAAAATTCGCTCGAATAAATTATAATATACTATTCCACAGTCGACAATTTGATTTACCAATTTACGCACAGATATTTTAGGGAGAAACTTCTGTATCCTTTTTATTGCATTTTAAAATTGGCATGTTTTTCCAACGCCGACGCGTATTGTCTTTTGTGTTTAACTTTTCTCAATAAACTAATGAAACTATTGTATTTCTTATATATTTTACAGCTACAAAAGTCATAAATATTATTTAAAAAAATGTAAGTTTGCTATTTTAATACATTTCTTTTCTCAAAAATAACATTTCAGTAGCTATATTGAAGGAATTTTAAGCTTGCCTCGAGTATACAATGTATTTTAACCGTATAGTGCTTTTGAAATAGTATTAAAATATGTTTACTCAATATATTTTTATGTTGATGGCATATAAGATCATCTACAAGGAGAGAAAAAAGTAAGATTCAACCTCTTTTCTACCAGTTTACAAACCACTTTTCCTCATGGTTGTAGTGTAATGGTAAACGTTTTTACTATTACTGATTTTTCTATGTATTTTAGTGGAAAATGAAGAAGAAGTACTTGGTATGTTACAGATTAGGCACTTGGCCATATATAAGAAATACATAATTTGTGGTAACCTTTTCTTTTCGCACATGACAAACATGCCATATATATGAACATAGATTCATTCTCAAAGACATAAATCAATTTAGTGTGGCCTTTATAATACTCTGGCCATATTTACACACATACTGTAGTATAAATTTAGCAAAGTACTAAATATTGATTAAAGATTTTGCCTCTTGCATTTTAGAAATTGAAGTTGATGCAGAGGGTGATGAAGGTAAATAAAAAATATTCAAAGTATTAATCTAATTCATTTGTCGCACTGTTTTCATTTTTTCTCACAACAATAAAGTGTATAATACATTTTATACACAAATTTCCCTTCACCATAGATCTAAGAGAAGCAGAGCAACCTGCCGTGGCAGTGGATGGGCCAGGTGAGCAATCCTGTAGCTCCCCGTGCACAACTAAAATACTCTCATTTTATCACAGTAAATCCTGTGCCACCACAATTATATCAACAATGCACAAGTTTACAATATTATTATTGACTTAGCCATATATAAAGAAATATATACATAATTTGTGGTATATAACCTCACATTTTTGTTATCCGTTACAGATTTTCCAATGAGCTAAAAGACCACAACCCAGCTCAACCCAATTGCCTTCCTTCTATAATTTTACGTACAACCCCCCCCCCCCATTTTGTAAAAATGTTGTCCTTGTGGTGGATGCATGAAATCACATCTATGTATTTTGTTCTTATTGAAAATCACATCTATGTATTTGTGTATTATTGTTTCATTTAAGAAGATCATCCACTCCCTGCACCACAAGGGAGAGGCTTGCCCCCAGGTATTTGTATCATTTAATTTTACTGAAATGTAATGTATACCATTTGCTTCCAGATAGCTTCCAATTTTTAAAAACTTTTTGTTATCAATTTAATATCCTAATTTACGCGATGTGTCAACCAAGTTTGTTACGTACATTTCAGAACATCATCCGCTCCCTGCTCTTCGGGGGAAAGGCTTGCTCCCAGGTATTAATTTGTATAATTTTCATTAGTGTTATTACCTATGTAAACACATAACACTCGATCAATAATGGTTACATTGCAATGATGCTCAAAATGACATCTCCTCTCTTTTAGGTTTCCGTGGATATTGCAGGTTAATAAAGTTTTATTGACAATGGTCAGTTAATTCACGAATTTAGTTAGCCAGAAGACCAATCATTTCTTGATATTCCACCTTAGGGCGTTGCTACAAGTGTGGCGTGCGGGGCCATCGTGCTCGCGCCTGCCAATCGCGTATGTATTTATACCTTATGGATTGCCATGTATTGTATAGTCACGTGAACAATTGCAAAGTGGTGTGTGTTGTAAGATATAACCTTGACTCTAGGGCTAACATACCAGCCCGGTGTGACAGAAAGAATTCAGAGGTCTAATCAAATATTTAACATTGCTAAAGACGCCGCTGGCCATCACAATGTATGAAAATAATCATACACGGCTAAAAACTCATCAGGTTGTTGCATCAACATCGAACAATGTTGTGCTGCCCATATTGTTCAGAGTTGTTATCAACTTGGAACAATATTGTTACACCCGATTCAGTTCCAACAATATTGTTCCAAGTTGATAACAACTCTGAACAATGTGGGCAGCACAACATTGTTCGATGCTGTTCATATCAATGTTGCATCAACCTGATCGTTTTTAGGCGTGTATATAATGACTTTTTTTTTCTTATAGTGACTTTTTTTTCTTATAGGGGCTGTTTGTTGGTTGTGTGGCCAGCGGGGCCACACAAGGGTTGTGTGCCCCCAGCGGCAGACTGGGCGCACAACACAAAAACGAGGGCAGCAAAAGCCCTCAATGCAATTTACAAACTGCACGTTTGAGAAGTTTAGTGCTTAAACTTCTCAAACGTGCAGACTAGGCTACGTTGACATATAATCTCTATACCATCATTGATTTTTAACGTTAAACATCAC